CCCAGGCTGCAGTGCAGTGGTGTGATCTCGGCTCACTACAACCTCTGCTCCAGGGTTTACGCGATCCTCCTACCTCAGTCTCCTGAGTAACTGAGACTACAGGTACGTGCCACCACACCCGGCTAATTTTTGTATTTTTAGTAGAGACGGGATTTCACCATGTTGGCCAGGCTGGTCTTGAACTCCTGATCTCGTGATCCACTGGCCTCCACCTCCCAAAGTGCTGGGATTACAGTTGTGAGCCACTGCCCCCGATCTACTTTTCTTGTATTGTTCTTGTCCAGTTTGGATATCAGGGTTACATGATTCTCAGAAAGACAAAGTATTTCCACGTATTCAGTTGCCTATAAAATTTCTGTTTAAAGTGTTATAATTAGTTTTCTTAAGTGGCTGGTTTACCTCACTTGTAAAACCATCTGGGCCAGGTATTTTCCTAGTGGGAAGATTTTAAGTTACTTATCTAATTTTTTAAATAATTTTAGCCATTAGCATGCCATTCACATTACATTCTACCATTAGATCAGTTTTGGTAACTTGTTTTTCCAGAAATTGCCCATTTCTCCTAGATTTTCAAATATTTTGTCATAACGTTATTCAGAATCTCTTTTTAATCTCTGCATATTTATTATGCCCTTTTTATTTTTGAGCAATCTTGCTGTAGATGTAATTAGTTAAAATTAAACAATTTGTAACCAAATTTTGACTTGAAAAAAAATCTCCACTGAATCTGTTTTAATTTTATTAAATTCTGCTCTGTATTAATTTTTGCCTTCTTTCAGTTTTTCTTTACTTTTTAAGCTAGATATTTAGCTCACTTTCAGCCTTTTTCCTTTTTAAATACAACACACACTTTGCTCTAACTACCAATGTAAATCATGTGCCAAAAAATTGAAACAATATTTTTATAATTCAGTCCTATTTTTTCTTTTCTTTTTTTCGAGATGGATTTTCGCTTTTGTTGCCCAGGCTAGAGTGCAATGGCTCGATCTAGGCTCACAGCAACCTTTGGCTCACTGCAACCTCCACTTCCTGGTTTTCAAGCAATTCTTCTGCCTCAGCCTCCCAAGTAGCTGGAATTATAGGCATGTACCACCACGCCCAGCTAATTTTGTATTTTTAGTAGAGATGGGGTTTCTCCATGTTGGTCAGGCTGGTCTTGAACTCCCGATCTCAGGTGATCTGCCCACCTCCAGCCTCCCAAAGTGCTGGGATTACAGGCATGAGCCACCGAGCCTGGCCTCCTAAGTTATTTTCTAATTTTAAGATTTCTTTTTCAACCTATAAGTTACTGAGAAGTGTGTTAGGTTTTCAGATGAATGTTGTATATATTATCTTAATTTCTAAATTAATTGCACTGTGCTCAGGGCATGTGTGATGTAGATGTGATACAAATACTTTTAAATTTGTTGAGATTTGGTTTATTGTCAGTTTTTTGTGAATGTTTCATGAATGCTTAAAAATAACATGAATTGAGTGGTTAGCTATTTCTATTAAATCGGTGGTTTTCACTTTTAAGCTGTGACCCCATATTAAAAAATACACATATATACCTAGGACAAACATAACAAAATCTTCACACAACAGTTTTATATATACATATACACATATGTGTAGATTTTTGGGTTTTTTTTTGAAGGTAGGTTCTCCTCTGTTGCCCAGGCTGGAGTGCAATGGCACACAATCATGGCTTACTGTAGCTTCGACTTCCTGGGTTGAAGCTCCCACCTCAGCTTCCTGAGTAGCTGGGACCACAGGCTCATGCCACCATGGATGGCTAATTTAAAAAAATGTTTTGGAGAGATGGGGGTCTTCCTATATGCCCAGGCCAGTCTCAAACTCCCGGGCTCAAGTGGTCCTCCCAAGTTCTGGGATTATAGGCATGAGCCACTGCCCCAGTTCCTGTATGTGTATTTTTAATGCTAGCTGCAATCCATGGGCTGATTTTATAACTCATTAAAGCGTGAGAGACATAGTGTGCAAAATATTGCATTAGATGAAGCCTATTAATTGTGTTGGTCAAATCTCTATTTTATTATTGATGTCTGACTTCTGGCTGATTTTTATCTATCAATTATTGAGGTGTGTTAACATCACATTAAGACATAACTATCACATAAGACAGATTCTGGAGCCATAGTGACTAAATTTAACTTCCATCTCTACCACTTACTACACAGGTAACCCTGGGAAATTTACCTAACCTCTCTTGCCTCCATTTCTCCATCTATAAATTAAGGATAACAGAAACTTAACTACTAGAATTGTTACAATTAAATGAGTTAAAACATGTAAAGCACTTAAATAAGTGCCTGGCACATCACAAGCACTCAATAAATGTTAGCTTTTTTTTTTTTTTTTTTCCTCAGGCTACCTAACCATTTTTGTTATTTTCGTTTTCACTTGTTATTTCTGTAAAGAACTGAACCCTGGGCACTACAAACTTAGAGGACAGAAAGATGAAGAGGAGAGAAGAGAATAAAGACAAGAGTGGCTGACCAGAAAAATACAGAAATCCTGGAGGCCGAATGAAGAAAGTATTCTCAGAAGGGAATGATTGGCTATAGGAAACATTGCTGAAAAAAATCGAGTGAGCTGACATTGAGGTATTTGGTAAAATGGAGGTTTGTGGTAACCTTGAAAGGTGGTTTCAGAGTCACGGAGAAGGCAAAGCCCAACAGGAGTGGGTTGAAGAGAGAATGGGAGGCAAGGAAGTAAAAACAATGAACAATTGGTATCTTTCCAGGTTTTGTTACAGAAAGCAACAAAGGAACAGGTCTATAGTTAGAATGGTCCATGAAGACAAGTGACTGTTTTTGCTTTTTAAAGATGAGAGCTCTTATGGAATAACCTACATGAAAGTTCAACACAGAAAAACTTTTTGGCCCATCATTTAACCACAAAGCACGCAGTCACAAATTATTATATGGCTCACACTTCAGAACTTTTCACTAAATATTCTTTAAAAGTCTAAATCAGATGAGTAGTCATTAATTTCTTTTCCTTTTTTTCCATAACTTTAAAGAAAAAAATTGGAAAGAGAAAACGTAGATTTATCACTGACTTTCAGCTTCAAAATATTTGTCAGTAGTTTTTTTTTTAGACTGAGAATTTCTCAAGCTTAGGAAAATGATCTCATACAGAATCGCATACCAATGAAATTTAAAAATATGAACCTAATCTTATTCCTTTTATTTCTTTATTAAGTAGACGTTTTTCACTCAAAAAGAGACATTTATAGCAAGTTTCCTCTCAATAGAAATGTCAAACCAAATTGGCACCTAAGGAAAGTTTCCTAAAAACAGATTTTGCCACAAAAAAAAAAAGAAAGAAAAATAGAATATCTTAGATTTTCTGAATTAAAAAAATAAAGTCCTAAGAAAGTTCACCTTGGAAATGAAATGGGGGAAAAAGAGCTAAACAGAAATCACATATGTAAAAGTGTATGAGATAAAAAGAATAAACAACATTTAAAAATTTTGGCACCTCCACATTTATAAATTTTTGAATGAGCTGATAGAGAATTTAAATGTATTTTTACAAAAGAAAAGAATGATACCATCGCCATTCCTAAGTTCATGATAAAAACTATAAAATGTTGTTTTACATTTACAAATTATATATTACATATAATTACATATTTATGTTTACAAATTAATGGAGCTGTGTACAACAAAAAAAAGTATAAGTTTGATCTTCCTATGTTATGTATTCTCTCTGAATATGGCAAACTTGTGATAAATAACTTTAAATATTGAGGATAAAAAATTGGGTTTTAAAAGTCCTATTACTTACCGTTTAAACTGCTATCAATTTCATTATTTTCAGACATTATGGAGTTATTTGTGCTGTAGCTCAGACCAAGAACCATTTGAAGATCTGAGAGATTCAGTCGTGCTGTTAGTTCACCACTTTTATCCCCAACCTACAACCACAAACATTTATATTTTAGAGTAGTACTTAAAGAATGGTGAAGATTATTTGTAAATGTAGTAAAACTACAGCTGGAAGAAAATATAGAGAAATGAAAATGGTATATTAGAATTATGAGACTGAATGAAAAATTTTTTTCCATTAATAGTTTTTTTTTCAAGAATATAGAAAGAAAAAAGAATTTTCTAAAATATCACAATAGGGCAGCTAATTGTACCCTTAATTCTTCACTTCTCTAAACATTAGATTGCTCTTGTTCTCTGGCATCATACTAAGTAATAACGTAGATTATCCTGGCCACATTAATTTGGTATATGAATAACATTTCCTTAGTTTATTTCCATAGTATAATAGTTAATGTTTATTACGCCAGCACCAGACATTATGCTAGGCACTTTTAATATATATTATCTCTAATTGTTATAACACTTTGCAACCTAGATATTATTATTCCCCTTTTGCATATGAGAGAAATTGAGGCTCACAAAAGGTTTCCAAGCTCAAACAGCCAGCAAGTGGCAGAACTACAACAAGAAGCTGTCCTTGATTCTAAGAACCATGCTTTTCCTTCAATACCATGCTACTTCTCCATGTAGACATAGGGGTAGAGGCATATTTTAGTACTCTCCTTCCATTTCCCCATGCCCAGCCTTACCTTCCTGTCTTCCTACAGCAAAGCCAACACAAACATAACTGTGATCTGTACCTCAGAATGCTTTGTGGGGTTCTATGCCAAGAGAATGATATATAATCAAATTTATTATTCAGCCATATGATCAAACTGGAGAAATAATAGGGTTCCCTTTCCCAACCACTAATTTGTAAATTATAATAGCACAGACAGCATTTTTTTTTAGTTTCATACCTCTCTTGAAATTTCCAAGTGCTTTTCAGCAAAATGCATTGCTTGGTCATGATTTCCTAGTGCTGTGTATGCATTTCCTAAGCTCCAACATGCTCTTCCTTCGCCAATTCTAAAACATTATTCAAAGTAAACATGCAGTTATTTGAAAAGAGGTCCTATGTAGAGAATAAAAGCTATCTAGCAGGAACTAAAGGTATAAAGAAACCTTTGGATTGATTTGGTCTTTCATATAAAGAATATACTATCATGATATTATAGATATATTAAGATACCCAGATTAAAAAAAAATGTATATCCACAGAATACTAAACTCATAGTCAAATATTAGAACATAGAAAACATTCTTTTAAAATATGAAATACATGATAAAGTAATAAATCTCAAGGATAGGTATTCTGGTCCACTACCCCATTTTCTTTCTTTCTTTTTTTTTTTTTTTTTTGGGTGGAGTTTCACTCTTTTTACCCAGGCTGGAGTGCAATGGCGTGATCTCGGCTCACGGCAACCTCTGCCTCCTGGGTTCCAAGCAATTCTCCTGCCTCAGCCTCCCGCGTAGCTGGGACTACAGGCGCACGCCACCATGCCCAGCTAATTTTTGTATTTTTAGTAGAGACGGGGTTTCACCATGTTGACCAGGATGGTCTCGATCTCTTGATCTCGTGATCCACCCGCCTCGGCCTCCCAAAGTGCTGGGATTATAGGCGTGAGCCACCGCGCCCGGCCTACCCCATTTTCTTTCTATAACAGCCCTACCAAGCAGTCATCCAGTGTGTTTGAGCAGCAGGGGGTCTCACTACCTCTGGAGGTAGCATACTTCATTTTGAACTGCAAGGAAAAGTTCTCTCCCATACTTAGGTTAAAAAAAATCTATCTTCTAAAGCAAACATTACAGACGAAATGCTGGCAAAAATATACTGTTTTTTTTTTCTCCATACAGTAAAACAAAACCACTGAATTAGCTACTAACATTTAAAAATCAGATTTCATATAAAACTCAGTACTTCCAGCTTCTCTTTAAAAAAAGACAGGAAGATCTGGACATAATGGATTCTTATTCCTGCCTGGCAACAATTAGTTATACTTGGGTAGCAGTAGCCCCCTTCATACCCGACATTATCTCTTAAGTTCACCACAATTCCCACACTTACATAGTCAGGAAGACTTTTTTTTTTTGGTGATGGAGTCTCACTCTGTCACCAGGCTGGAGTGCAGTACGGCCATGATCTCGACTCACTGCAAACTCTGCCTCCTGGGTTCAAGTGATTCTCCTGCCTCAGCTTCCCAAGTAGCTGGGATTACAGGCATGTGCCACCACACCCACCTAATTTTTGTATTTTTAGTAGAGTCGGGGTTTCACCACGTTGGTCAGGATGGTCTCGATCTCTTGACCTCGTGATCTGCCTGCCTTGGCCTCCCAAAGTGCTGGGATTACAGGTGTGAGCCACAGTGCCTGGCCCATCAGGAAGACTTCTGAAGTGGTAATTGAGTTTGGGACCTAGTCACTGATCTTGGGTCAAGGGCATATGGAACCAGACTAATCCTCCATCACAGACTAGCCCTTCAAACAACAATATATAGAAGACATCACTGAAACAGAAAATTCCTTAAAAAGGATATTAAGGAAAATAAAGGAAAAGAAACAAAGGAAAAATTATAGGGATTCAATAATGCATCTATATTTTACCTTAGTTATGGCAAAAAGATGTAGAACATACCTATCATTCAGCTCCTGAGCAATTGCTAAGTGCTTCAGATGATAATCAATGGCCTTTTCATAGTCTTGAAGTAAAGTATATGTATTTCCAAGACTGTAACAAGACTGTGCTTCTACAGCTCGGTCTTTAAGCTGTCGAGCCAACAGTAGTGTCTTCCTGCAAGAAGAAATTAATTCTTACATAATGATCATTCTCAGTGTGGGCTATAAGAATCAAAAAATAAAACTCTCATTTTTCCTCTCTGCTGCCTTTAAATCTCCGAGAGCCTAATTTTCATATCCCGTACTTTCTCCATTACTTTTAGACAAAATTAAAAGATGTTTTTGAAACACAGAAAGCAGATTCAAGACTTGTAGAATAAATTTGAGAATCCTAACAATTTACCAAAGAAGTACTGAAACATGACAAGAATTTCTAGAGATTAACATAATATCTTTTTTTTTTTTTTTTAAGATGGGGTTTCACCATGTTGGTCAGGCTGGTCTTAAACTCCTGACCTCAGGTGATCCGCCCACCTTGGCCTCCAAAGTGCTTGGATTACAGGCATGAGCCACTACGCCCGGCCAGATTAACATAATATCTTTAACATTAAAAAAAACTTTCCCTTTAGTATTGACAATAGCTAAAAGAGGCTTTTGTCCACATAACATCTGTTTTCAGTCACACCGTCAACTTTGCATTGTCAGAATTTAAAATATTTAGGTAAAATTCTTATGTGTAGGGCATTAGTCACAAATTCATGAAAAATACTGAATACTGCATCTAAACCTTACCCAAATTCCACCTGTGTTATTGTCAGTGAAAAGCTAGCATAGCAGTTAAGAGCAGAGATCTTGGAGCTACACTGGGTTTAAATCCCAACTTTGCCAAATTACTAAACTAAGGGCAAAGTCACTCAACCTCTCTGTATACCAGTCTCCTCATATATAAAATGGGGGAAATACCTCGAAGAACTTTTGTGAGGATTAAATGAATATATATAAAGTGCTTAGAACAGCTCTTGTGCATAGTAGATACTACAAATGTTAATGTGCTATTTTATCAGTGCTTAAACCTACAGATGCTTTTGGATTCAATAATTTAAATGACTTTCCCATCATTTCTGTCAAATAGTATAATTACTTCATATCATTTATAACTATATGACAAATTACTCTATGGTAATGTAGATTTTTTTTTTTTAAGCAAACAAATCTAAAATTACGTATTTAATGATGATACCTTCAAATCGGTCACCTTGGAAGGCTACCTACTTATTCAAATGTTGCCTGTCTTTTCAAATATTTTTGAAAGACTTTTGGAATTGCCTTCAGATCCTGTGGCATAACGCTTTCTGGCATATCATTATTCTTTGATGGTATAGTTGATTTGTAAATGATCAGAAATCTTTTTGCGGCAGGGCGCGGTGGCTCAAGCCTGTAATCCCAGCACTTTGGGAGGCCGAGGCGGGTGGATCACGAGGTCAAGAGATCGAGACCATCCTGGTCAACATGGTGAAGCCCCGTCTCTACCAAAAATGCAAAAAATTAGCTGGGCATGGTGGCGTGTGCCTGTAATCCCAGCTACTCAGGAGGCTGAGGCAGGAGAATTGCCTGAACCCAGGAGGCGGAGGTTGCGGTGAGCCGAGATCGCGCCATTGCACTCCAGCCTGGGTAACATGAGTGAAACTCCGTCTCAAAAAAAAAAAAAAAAAAAAAGAAATCTTTTTGGAACCAAATTCAATTACTAACATAAGCTTATCAAACTACTGCTTTGTATCCGTAGGGCTACGGATCTATAACGTTATGTCAGTATTTTTGTTTGGCCCTGAAAACAATTCCAGGCTGGGCGTGGTGGCTCACTCCTGTAATCCCAGCACTTTGGGAAGCCGAGGTGGGCCGATCACTTGAGGCCGGGAGTTTGAGACTAGTCTTGCCAATGTGGTGAAACCCCATCTCTACTAAAAATATGAAAATTAGCTGGGCGTGGTAGTGGACACCTGTAATCTCAGCTCCTCAGGAAGCTGAGGCAGGAGAATTGCTTGAACCCAGGAGGTAGAGGTTGCAGTAAACCAAAATCGTGCCATTGCACTCCAGCCTGGGTGAAAAGAGCGAAAGTCCGTCTCAAAAATAAAATAATAATATTCCAAAGAAGAGTTCCAAAAATGTTTCTAACAAACAATTTGGAATATATATAAAGTTCTGAGTTCTAGCCTGCTTACTGAGAGAAAAAAAGTAAATTTCATTACTTTCTTTTTTTTTTTTTTTTTTTGAGACGGAGTTTCGCTCTTGTTACCCAGGCTGGAGTGCAATGGCGCGATCTCGGCTCACCGCAACCTCCGCCTCCTGGGTTCAGGCAATTCTCCTGCCTCAGCCTCCTCAGTAGCTGGGATTACAGGCACGTGCCACCATGCCCTGCTAATTTTTTGTATTTTTAGTAGAGACGGGGTTTCACCATGTTGACCAGGATGGTCTCGATCTCTTGACCTCGTGATCCACCCGCCTCGGCCTCCCAAAGTGCTGGGATTACAGGCTTGAGCCACCGTGCCCGGCCCCAATTTCATTACTTTCTATTTGTACTTCTTTAGTCAAATAGCCACTATTCACTATATGATAGAACCTTTCAGTATTTAACACAGATACACCATTTAATAATTAAGATTTCTCTATATACCTTGGCTTTAAAATAAAAACTTTTATATTTAAAATAAAAATATATATTCCTTCACATAGTGATATATTTTATTTGGGAAGCTATTTCATAGCTAACTAACCTAACCAACCAATATTAACCACTAGTTAATGTTTAAAGCAAGGTGGAATGCTATTCAATTTTTTAGATCGGCCTAAAACAATTTTACGTTTTTTTTTTTTTTTTTTTTGAGACAGAGTCTCGCTCTGTTGCCCAGGCTGGAGTGCAGTGGCATGATCTTGGCTCACTGCAACCTCTGCCTCCCCGGTTCAAGCGTTACTCCTGCCTCAGCCTCCTGAGCAGTTGTGACTACAGGCACGCACTGCCATGCCATGCTAATTTTTTGTATTTTTAGTAGACGGAGTTTCACCGTGTTAGCCAGGATGGTCTTCATCTCTTGACCTGGTGATCTGCCCACCTCAGCCTCCCAAAGTGCTGGGATTACAGGTGTGAGCCACTGTGCCTGGCCCAATTTTACCTTTTTTATAAAGATGACAAATTATTCAGAACTCATTAAAGAATCATTGGATTAACAAAATACAAATCAATCACTGTGTCTTCTGTTTAGTCAAACTGGCTTCTACCTGAAATCTATAAGGGCCTTTGATCACCACTAACTATGGAAAACTCAATCTAGAAAGCACAGATCAGGCAACTTGAAGCTGTCTAAACTTTGTATCATCTATGTCTCAAACCTACTGATAAGAAAGATCCTGCCATAGAAGCAGCTGCAATTGCCACCTCTTCAGGTAAGTGAATGGGGACTCAGCTTACAGTGATAGCCAAATATGGGCAAAAAGAGGGTAAAGGGAGAACTGCTCAATAAGATGGTGGGAAGGTAGCAGAAAAATGCAGTGATCACGGTAGAGATTATTAATATTTTTGTTACCAGGCTTTCTTTTGACCTCTATTTTAACCCATAATTGAGTGAAATAAAGCATACACACAATATATACCACATATGCCAAACAAGTTTAACAGACATTAAAGGTTGAAAATTTCATTTAAAAACAATTACTTTTAAAGATAAAAACCAATAATATAAAGTGTTCATACAGCGATTAAATCTTAGGTACAGTAATATTTATTGAGCACTGTGTGCCAGGTACTGTGCTAAGTGCTTAAAATATTATTTCATTCAATCCTCACAGCATTCCCCAAAATGAAGTACTGATATTTTCTGTTACAGGTAAGGAGATTGAGGCTTAGATGCCAAAGGTCCTGCTGCACTCAGATTTTAAACCCAAAGCCTATGAATTAATGGGACTGAATAACTATTCATTTTACATTTATCTACAGAAATATTAGACTGACTTGTAGTATTCAGAGGCAGTTTCAAATTCACCAAGAAATATATATGCATTTCCAAGGTTGCTATATGCTCTTCTTTCAGCTGCTTTATCTCCAAATTCTTTTGCAATAAGCAGACGCTGAAAAAGAAAATTTTAATTAGATGTAGCTATAATAAAACTGAAGAATGATCTAATCAGTGTTCAGAACTTTGATGAAGAAATGATCTGGCTCCAAGACCTTCCACTGTACCTGCTCATGGGCTATAACTGCATCCCTGAAGTTGCCAAGGAGGTAATGTGTGTTTCCAAGATTTCCAAAGGCACGTCCTTGTGCTGCTCGGTCACCCAAAGCAGTCACTAGTGATAGGTTTTCCCTAACGGACAGCAAAAAGTGATGAAAAAAATAAGTCTGCAAAACAATTTTATTTATTTGATTTACATATCTAATTTTATCAGGAAAAAATGTAAATAAGTTTACAGCCAAAATGTGCAACACTTTAAGGATGACATCTGTGATGAAGGACAATTATAGGAAATAGCTGGGACCTTTATTTAACCATTCAGATAGGTTTCTGCCCAGGGTCAAGCACAGAGTTAATTTTGGAACCCCTATAGTTAAGAAGTTCTATGAAATTCTGTTGGTAAAAGACTAAATTACTCTAAATAACAGACTAAGCATTGATATTTCTTGTTTTTGCCACTAAGTGGCACTGGTCTGCAATTTAAATGAAAGCTGCAGATTACATTATAACATAACACTATAACAGTTAAGCAACTGAATTGATGATTTTGCTAGTTCATAACTTTAAAACTTTTGCCAAACTTAAAACTTACTACTGAATAAAGAACATATAACAGATCCATAACTTAGATGGGCCTACATGACTGCACATATCAGCCCCTACTCACTCATAAAAATCCAAGGCTGCCTGAAGAGCATTTCTCACTTCTTCTGGAAATTCTCCTACGTCCTGGGGACCAGGGCAACCAAAGCTTTTCCCTTTGGCATGATACACATTTCCAAGATTGTAAAGTGCTCTTGCTTCTCCCACCTAAATGAAGATATCAGCAAAGTTTACATTTTGAAAACAGAGGTCAGGTTTATCATATATATTTGTAATATCCTTAGTATTACGGTCAAGGGAAATAAATTTTTTTATTGGCTCTCCATACAGAACCAATCAAATGATTACTTATGAAAGAAAGCCCTCTTGCTACTTCCTTCTTTTTCTCCATTTTTTTTTCTTTTACTTCTATAGTCTATAAATGTTTTCTTTTTTGGCATTAATTTTTAAATAAACTATAGAATAATTAAATAGTATTAAAATGCAAAGCACTTTGAATAAAAATATTGGGTCTACCATTTAATGCTGTGGTATTACCTTGTCATTAAGCTCTCTGGAAATATCTAGGTGTCGCTGACAACAAACTATGGCTTCATCAAAATTCCCAAGAACTTTTAACGTGTTTCCCAGATTACCACTAGCTTTGGCTTCCCCCAACTGGTCTCCAATAGTCCTGGAAAAAAAAAAAGAAACAAATGGTATTAAAATACAAATGGTGTTAAAATATAAAGCAGCCAGAGTACAGTTTTCCTAGAGGACAAACTGACATGCTTAAGGTAAGAAAAATCCATTGGCTCTGAAACCTACTTTAAATAAATATTTAAAACTTACATTTCTGTATTTGAATGTAATTAGTTTTCATTCATTTAATTAAACTCTAGGGTCCTTTCACTACTATTCATTCAATTAAACTGTGTTCAGCCTAAAGATTAGTTTTAAAAAGTGATGCTATTGAAGTAGAACTCATTAAATGTATTAAGTTAGTTTTTGTTAGTTGGATAGAAATATTTTTTAAAATAATAGCTAATTTCAGAAGGAAGAATATTTAAAAGCTTAAGTTAATTACCTTGCAAGAGTTAAATCATGATGGTGATATTCTAATGCTTTGGCATAATCATGCAAATAGAAATAAGCATTGCCCAGCTGGCTGTAAATAGCACTAAGTGTTTTTAGGTCTTCAGTTCCAACTTGAACTGCAGCTTCAAAGAATGACACGCCAGCTCGGCAGTCTCCTGATTTACATAGACGTTCCCCTTCCAAGGCCAGCTCTAGGCAAGACGCTTCCATTCTACAAAATTATACAGGACAGACATTTAAACATAACATTACAGCTGCATCACAGTATTTTTAACTTCCAGTAATATAATTTAAATGTAGACTATGTGGCTACTCTTGTTCAGGACAGCTGCCTCTACAACTGAAGTCTATATACATTCCTGATAAAACAGCAAAACAGTTATCTGTAGCAAGAGGTAATTTGCCTATTCAAATTTATCTGAGCCTGCTCAGAGAGGTCTGTTACACAGGATAGCTAAATATCTTTATGTGGAGCTCATTTTAATTGGCCCAGAGCAATCCACATTACTAGTGAAAGAATCTAAAGCAGTATTTCCCAAACAATTCTGAGTAGTAACAGACCTCTAGACTTCCTGAGAGCCTGGGGAGACGAGTATTTGGAAAATGAGGCCCCACAATTATTAATATTGTTCTCTACCCAGGTATCCAAGTAATCTAGTCACCTGTCCATCAACCCCTCTGACCATCCATCCATCCCTCTCTCTCCCTCTTATACACACACAACACACACTCTCCTTCCTCTTCTTACCACCACATGATCACTTATATCCTAGAAAAATACAGGAACAAAGTATTCTTGATCTGTAAGGCACATTTTCACAAGAGAACTAAGTGTCAAGAAACTTAAAGTTAGAAAGCAATGATTCAAAAATTTGCAGAAATACTAATTTTCAAAGTCTGTCCCTGAATTGAAAAAGCCAGAAGGATTAAATCACTATAAACATATCTGAGAGAAAAAAATACTGATACTTCGGATTCAAATCCTAAACTTTAGAGGGTGCCCCTTACTAAAGTTGCCACTGTGTTTCTTCAGTATCTTCATGATTTCTGTGATATGTATGAAGTACCTATTCATTTAATTATAATTTGGCAAATTTCCTTTAAATTGGCACACTAACTTACCATTGAAAAAAACATTTGAGCTTCAACCAAATCAGTACTCATGAAACTGTGAATTTGATATGATACTTGTATTTATTTTCTAATACAGCAGTCTCCAACCTTTTTGGCACCAGGGGCCGGTTTTGTGGAAAACAGTTTTTCCATAGATGGGTGGCAGGGGATGGTTTTGGGATGATTCAAGCATATTACATTTACTGTGCTCTTTATTCCTCTTGTTACTACATATTCACCATAATGTGCAATCAGTGGGAGCCCTGAACTTGTTTTCCTGCAACTAGACAGTCCCATCTGGGTGTGATGGGAGACAGTGACAGATCATCAGGCATTAGACTCTCATAAGAAGCACACAAACTGGATCCTTTGCATGTACAGTTCACAATAGGGATTGCACTCCTATGAGATGCCACTGCTGATCTGACAGGAGGCGGAGCTCAGGTGGAAATGCTCACTAGCCCTGCCCACTTGCAGCTTACCTCTTAACAGACTACAGTAGTACTGGTCTGTGGTCTGGGGGCTGGCAACCCCTGTTCTAATATACACTGAACAAATATGTAATTATTAAAATCTAAAAGTGAGTAAAGTTACCCTATGTACCACCAATGGTATACATATCACTCTGAAAAGCTCTGATAGGGCTCATCAAACATTTTAATTTTTGTAACAGCACTAAATTACTCCTTACTAGAATGAGCTTTGAGCCACGCTAATAGAGCAGTGGTTCTTAATGCTGGCTGTACAACAGCAGAGCTGACCTAGAGCACTCTCTAAAACTCTCAATGCTAAATTCTACTCTCTGGGTGATGTTTGGCCATCTGTATTTTTTTTTTTTAAGCCCCAGGTAATTCTAAAGTACAAGTTAGGGTTGAGAATCAGTGCTTTTATAAGAAATGTGAATTAAACCATCACTCACCCTAATATCATTCAAATATGATACTTTGTATATTGAGTGGTAGATCAATTAACATGTTTGAGTGCTATTTTTCAGTCCGTAAAATTTCAAGATTCCTTAAAGCCATAAATTAAAATGGGATTGTAAAGTGGAAAATATATCTGATGAAGCTAAAAGCCTGGACAAAGATTAACAGAGCCAATTGCAAAGGTTCAAAGCAGACTTTTGGTTCAGAAAAAGCAGATGTATGTAGCCAATTCCAATAGGTAATTTTCAAGTTCTTTTTTTTTTAGAATTCAAGTGATTTAGCCAATGGCTACTGCTTGCTGATCTTCACTTTTTTTTTTTTTTTTTTTTGAGAAAGAGTCTCTCAGGCTGGAGTGCAGCAGTACAATCTCAGCTCACTGCAACGTCTGCCTTCTGGGTTCAGGTGATTTTTGTGCCTCAGTTTCCCACGCAGCTGGGATTACAGGCATGTGCCATCATGCCTGGCTACTTTTTGTAATTTTAGTAGAGACAGGGTTTTGCCATGTTGGCCAGGCTGGTCTGAAATTCCTGACCTCAAGCAATCTGCCTGCCTTGGCCTCCCAAAGTGTTGTGATTACAGGGTGAGCCACCATGCCTGGCCCCATCTTCATTTTATGGATCTATGCAAAATAAGGCAAGTAAACCTCTAACATTTTGCTACAACATTAGACCACAAGCCAATTAGATACAGAAGAGAAGATGGAAAATACATAGAAAGATAATCAGTTAAATCAGAAACCTTAAACTGCTACATTTATGTTTCTTTATCTGTCACTTCACAATTAATAAAGCCTATTTTGGTCTTCCAAAAATGAAAACCGCCCTTTAGAATTGCATTTCTGAAAGTGAGAGATTTCATAAAAGAAAAACTGAGTATATCTAAGATTTTATGAAGTTATTGTCATATTCTATGTATAAAGAGAAATAAGTCAACAAAATATTTATATGTAAAAATGTGACTTTTTTTTTTTGAGATGGAGTTTAGGTCTTGTCACCCGGGCTGGAGTGCAATAGCATGATCTTGGCTCACTGCTTCCTCTGCATCCTGGGTTCAAGTGATTCTCCTGCCTCAGCCTACCAAGTAGCTGGTATTACAAGCATGAGCGACTGTGTCCAGCCAAAATGTGATTTTTATTAACGGATAATTTTGCCAGATGACTACTTGAACTGGTTGTCTTTATTTGTCTAAAAACGGAAACCAATGAACTTTAAAAAATATTATAGAACAAAACTGAAAAAGACATTTTTATATGTAAAATATAATTTCCTACAAAAAGTTTTTAATTTAAGCATTCTAATTATGTTAAAAATTATATCTCAAACATTTTCAGTACTAGGAATTGATCTTAAGGTATACTCACACAAATTCAAGAAGATATTTATGAAAGGATATTCACAGCAGCAAAAAAACCACAAATGAATTAAATGTCCACCAATAGATACTGGAGCTTAGAACATAGTAAAAAAAATTACAGGCCACCATACAATGGAATACTAATGATGGCCCATCATTTCACTCAGGGAGAGGTGGGGAAATGGTCACACATGATAGCACCATCAGTTCAGGATGACTGAGTTGCTGGCCAGGAAATTAGGAATAAGGCAGAACTGGCTATTCATGTGAACAACATTTAAAAATCGTAAGTATAAAAGTGTTAGCCTATATTCATATAAAGCTGAGAAGTATCTTCTTCACACAAGTAACTTCACCACAAATAACTGATCTTCTGGATTTAAGCTTACAGAATATTTTACTGGAACCACTGAGCCAAATGACGTGGCATCCAGCAAAACTTAGCTATAGGTAGAATGGCACTGTAAGTGTGACACATTTTTTAAAAGGCATTTTACGTAACTGTCATATAAGAGACAGCGGTAGCAAACTGGAAGCTTGATGGCTATGTGGCTGTCCTTGAAGTCCATGTAGTGAGAATGCCCTACAGGACAGATTATCTTAGAAAACTTATTTCAGTGACTAATACCTGAAATAACGTCCAAAACTCCCTAGTTTATGATTAATTCTTAGATAGATTCCAGCTCTGGTGTATTTTATTAGAAAAGAAGTCAATATTCTGGCAAACATCTCTAACCTCTGAATCAAATATAGGTTTATGCCTGCAAAATAGGGCAGGTTGGTTTATAAATTTTTTAGAAGATCATTAAATAGTAACAGAGAAAGTAATTTCATATCCTTTCTGTCTCTATGAGAGAATAGAATTACTTCCTTTGTTTACCAGTTGGGTTGAAAACAAAGAACATACCCAGATGTAGAAGAAAAACCAAGAAAATACCCCTCTATGAAAATACATCCCACATACAAAGTTTCTTTTATTCTTCTGATAGCCTATCTAGTTGTATAATCAAATATATTTCTAATACACTTCAAATAGACATAGTACTACCATCCTTAACTGAAGTGTTTTCATTTTTGCTAATAAAGTGGACATTTTAGCTAAAATTCCTCATTTCCTGTGCAAACTTGTGTTATTTCATTTAAAAAAAATTTATTTTTAACTTTTCTTCTACACTCGATTTTGCACTTGATTATCCTCTTTATCTCCTTAATTTTGCTTAGTGTTCACAGTATGTCATTGAATGCAAAAGAATTAAAATCATGATGCTACATCATTCTAAAAACTTAATAACATCGATTTTGTCCATACCTGACTCTTACTTCAAAGGGCTTACATACTATTTAAGAATAAATGATGGAATTCAGGACCTAAGAGCCAAAACAAGAGTACTCTCCATTTTTTCTATTATGCTTTCCATTTCTGTGGTTGTGGAATCTTCTTTCATAAACCCTAGCTTGTATTCTAATTGGGCATGGACCTTTTCCATCACCAGTCTTAGCCCCAATAAACAATTTTCATCCATTCAATTTACCACATATATCGAGCTTTTCTTGTTTATTTTTTAAAAGGAAAAGTGTGCTCAATTATCTTGATTTACATTTTTTATGGTTAGGATGATTAACAACATAGAATAAGAAGAAAATGATTAAAAAATAAAAAACAAAATTGTGGCAGGCGCGACGGATCATGCCTATAATCCCAGCACTTTGGGAAGCTGAGGTGGGTGGATCATGAGGGTCAGGAGATTGAGACCATCTTGGCTAACATGGTAAAACCTTGTATCTACTAAAAATACAAAAAATTAGCCAGGCGTGGTGG